CCATGCTGATACTACGACAACCTGACTAGCCTCAAATCAATACGAGTAGATGTTTCATGGTCAAGATCTGATTACTCCTCGCGCCTTTCGTATTGTTTAGTTGAAGATTCTTAGTCCTTATCAGCAGACCTAGGCAGTAGCCCGCCAGTCGATGCGTCAAATTTGCCATAGCGTTGAATCTTGAATATATAGTCGTCACGATAGGAGTAGTTGTTAGTTCTGAACAGTGTTGCCAAGCGCTTAGTATTCACGAGATTTTCTCATCCTCCGGGAGATCACTTAGATAGTTATAACACTCAATTGACTAGTTGCAATCACGGCAGCACTCAAATGACAGTTACACACACAAGAACCGGGAGAATAATAGACTTGGCAGATTGTAGCGATCTACTAGTGCCACAAGCTGGGCAACAACCATTTGTAATATCAGGCCAGCTTGAATGGACAGGGTCAAGGAGCCATTGAGTGCGCAGGTCCTGGCGGACAGACGGATGGTGTTCGATCCGAGAGATACAATGACTGATGCCGAGAGATTGCTCTTGCTATAGACCTTGACAACTACCTTGCATATCCTTCCATCCATTCATTAATTTCACGAGCAGATCCCGGGTTGAATTCTGTAAATCACTGTCAAGCAATAGACCACGTTCGAAAAGGTGAGCAAATGTAGAAACCAGGATGATCCTGTTAAGATACGGCCTAGCAATGATATGAGAGCATTGCATGGGGAAATAATAAGATTTAACCCCTAATTATGACAAAGCCCTTCATTCTCGGTTCTTACAGTAGACTTGAGGTTCGTAAACAACGCGAAGGCGCATTGAGAGGAAGCCGAAGTCTGGCCCCATTGTGATTCTGCAGCTTGATTGCTGGGCAGATAAGTATTATAATGTAGTAATGATAATTGTTTACGTCTGAAGGATGTAGGATATCTATCTACTTGTCTACCTGGAAAGTCGACTAAGGAGAAGACTCTTACGAGCCGTCGCGTTGCTATGGCGCATAAGATGATTGGAGTACCAGAGCAGAGCCAGAGTTCTGCGTGACATAGGAAAGACCATGATAGAGTAACTATGGTGTAGATAGGTGAAGGATATAAAATTTAGTTGCGTCCCCAGCAGGCTAGCTAGTTGGATATCAACCTCGGCGACAACGTACATAAAAGGCAGGAGAGTCTGTACTTTTAACGTAGTATGCTTGATTATTGCTCAGGGCACTATAATGGGCGAGGGCTAGCTAATAACATAGGCAATCAACTTAGATTAAGGCGCTTTCATAGGCATATCATAGGTTTCGATATACCTTGCGAGATTCATAGCCTTAATGGACGTGGCAAGTTCATTGTCAAGGCCCACAAAAAGGAGAACCCAAGCTTCTCACACGGTGAGCCAATATACAGACACTTTGGTTGTTCCTAGACATCATGTGGTATTGCACTGGAAGATGCAGTTGTTTCAACGCGGCTATACGTAGGCCTCTTGCGACCTCTGTGGCAGTGTTCCTTTCGCATATGAACGATGCCTACATTACGTGGTGTAGAAGCTTCTATGGCTAAAAGTTCTAGGATCCAAAAATAGGGTCCTCTTTGGCCCATAAAATAGGCTCTGTCGTATGACCATCACCTCACCACAATTGGACGAGATCTAGGTATCAGGTAGAAAGACCACTTTGAGGCTGACTACCGATGGCTCAGGTTGGGTACCGGCATGGCGGTTTCGGGAACTAGCAGGGCAGCACGCGGCTTTTCAACACAACAGGCCGCTTACTAGGCTTGCATATCCGAATAAACATGGAAAGTCTGCCGGTCTGCCGGTTTAAACAGCTGCGTACCCCGGAACATTGCGTAAGGCTGGTGGCGTAGCCGTTGAATTTACGAACGGTGCCTGGGCCTATCATGTCAATGCCATTGCCAATATATTCCATACTCCCTTAATATACCTGTGCCCTTAATATACCTGTGGCGTCTTCAGTGGTACGTAGGCATCCTTGAGCCCCAACGGAAAATGGACGAGCCAATAATACAGATTACAAAAGGTTTTACCTTGTTCTAGCGCTGTCAAATCACCTGTATACCTGGATTCACGTCAATGCCCACACAGGGGTTGAAGTAAAGATTCCCCACCAACTCTATCGCAGTCCACGTATTATGGGCCAATTCTAAACCCTAGCTCCTCCCACATCCCGTTATAACTCCACTATAACCAGAGAATTGGGTAAATTATTTGTTGTCCAAGACCCGCGATCGTGGCTTCGTAAATTTGTTTCGGCCTATCTGCTGGATCTAGCAGTAGATACCGTGAAGCCGCGCAATGACTTCACAGATATGGAAGCCGGTTAATGTTGTTTAGTGGCCCTGGTAAGTCATGGATGATGCGTACCTTTCATGCACACCCTCTTAGATTTTGTATACTGAATGACATAACCGCTACAGCAATGCTTGAAAACCCAACAATGGAGACCAAGACTTTTTCAGGGGGCGATTGTGTGTATGCAACGCGCAAGCAACTCTAGGGACAGTAAAATGAGTAGAACTTCAGGAAAGCGTGTATATAACCGCGAGGAAGTACGCCATGATGTTTGTCGTATCTTCTCACATCACTCTGCCATTCATTGCCAGCCAGCCATTCTTTCACATCTGGCCATTCGCTGCTCTCTGTATACTCTACCACTCACTTATTAGTGTTGATAACTTATCATTCACTTCACCAACACTTCGTTACAATGAAGCTAACTCCTACCCTCGCCTTGCTCTGCATTGCTGGTGTGCTTGCGCACCCCGAGCGCCACGATGACCACGAGGAAGCCAAACGAGAAGAAGCCAAGCCTAAGATGGTCAGCCGCTCGACCAACAAATGCGCCAAAGCTATTGAGGCTCGCAAGGCTGAGGTTCTTGCCAAACGGACCGAGCGACTCTACCAACGTCGGATCGCTGACGGAAGCATCAAGCCCGCTGATGTCCACAAGCGAAATGAACTGAAGTATACCACCATCCAGAACGATACCTGTGTTCTCGCTCCCGAGACAGTCTGGGGTCCCTACGGTGTCGACGGAGAGATTATGCGTCACGATCTTCGCGAGAGCCAAGAGGGAATAGATATTTATATGGATATCGGTGTTATCGATGTCGACACATGCGAGCCTTTGTCGGGAGCTGCCCTCACCATCTGGAACTGCAATGCTTCTGGGTATTATTCGGGGTTTACCGGAGTCGATCCCAATACGGTTGAGCTGCTTGATGGCTGGACGAAGCGTGAGGACGGAACTACCGATGACGAGACCTTCCTTCGCGGTATCCAGGTCTCAGATGAGAACGGCATGGTCGAATTCTTGACAACGTTCCCCGGCTACTACGCCTCCCGTACTACCCACGTTCATATCACTGTTCAGAGCGATATCAGGAATGGCACGAGTTACAATGCGAGCAAAGTACAGCATCTTGGACAGGTCTTTTTCGAGGAGGATTTGATCAACTCGGTCTATGCCCTAGAGCCATATGCAGCTCATCTCAAGACCTTGGACCGTGTCACGAATGCAAATGATACTCTGTTCAACACCGCTAGCACCGGTGGTTATGGCGCAGTTGTCAGTGTCGAACAGATTGGCGCCAACCTCACCGATGGACTTATCGGATACGTGAGTTACCTCCACTTCTTGGTCAATGACTAAATACGCAACAAAGCTAACTGTTCAACAGGTCACTATCGGAGTTAACAGGACTGCCGAGGCTGCCCTGACTACCGGTGGCAGCGTCAATCCTGTGGGCTTCCTCCCTACTGTGTCCGTTGCCTCTAGTAAACTGGCTGAGGCTACTGCTGCCGATATCTTGGCTGGCTATACCTCATAGTGTGGATGCAGGTTTTTAGATCACGCTCCTTTTTTTTGTTTGTAAATAAATTGATTTACGGGCGCTTCGTGGGCATAGCATCAGGTGACATACAGCGGCGTATTTGGTATAGATGATTGTATATACATGGGGTAGATGGTGAATCAAAATGGAATCTTTGAGCCGTCTACTTTTAAGGTGTTGGCCTATTGGATCAAGTCATTACGTGCGCTTTCGTTGTGAACTATTGCCGATTAGGTTAGTACTGGTTGGTTATAAAACGAGGAAGAGCCAGAGTGGAGAGAACTCGTAAGTGTATACCTAGTTAGGGTACCATCCAGTATAGTGCGAGCAGACGTTCCGGGTTTTCGGCAGCTTCTGTTTGAAAGAACGGGCCGATATACTAGTACCTACGCAAAACGCGCTTAGAATATAATTACTAAATAGACTACAAACGAGGTTGACAGAATCCAGAGAGGAATGCACTACTGCAATGAACTAGCAAAGATCTTTATGTCAATTGTTCAATTGTCCTAGCCTACATTGCTTTATCAGTTTGCAAAACACTGCGATTACCACGATGGTAATGAGACCATATGGCTGGGACACCCCGTCTAGTCGACTCAGTTCATTGCCAAGAGGATTAAGTCACTATGAAGGAACTGGGATTTGCCATCACATTATATCGACTTCAGGCCTTGTAAGACATATTTTCTTGAGTACCACAAGAACCGAGTCATTCGACAGCCCCCAGGGGTCTATCCGCATCGCCTGGCCCCAACAAGTAGTTAGATAGTCTACGAAGCAAAGAAACTAGATAGATTGTCACAGCACCATTACTTCTTGCAAGGCTTCTGAACGCGACCGCTGGGGTAATGCACTATTATTCAATAGTCACTGTGAATATTTGAATTGGCCATGAAGATGACCTGGTTCGCGGGCGAGCTATATATTTGCGGCGGAGCCTGTTATCGAACTTATAAGTCATATCGTCTCGTGTCCCATTGCTTATTAGGCAATTCACAGTGGCTCTGAAGGGGAGTCTGCAACGTGCTGTGGCAAATCATGTAGTGGGGGGTAGCACTAAGGAATTGGAGAGGGTATGGCCCAATTTTCCAATCATCTCACACACAAGCTTATAAACATTGATAATTCAAACTGCTGATATAATCAAAAGTCCGAATTGGTGTAGTGGCTAACATTTGACGCTCTCATTGAAGATCCGTCAAGCCCGGGGTTCGATTCCCCGATTCGGAGTATATCTTTTATAATTTTTACCGTGATCGCCTCCATTTATCGTTAACTTATTGGTGTGCTATGCATTGTTCATAAGTCTGGAATAATCCCCGCAGAGCCTCCATCTTTGTGTACTTGGTAGATGCATATACCCAGCTAATGATGTAGCTATGATACTTGCATATAGTTCTAATCGGTATATGCTTTCTGTCTTATGGCCAAATAGCGGCAGATACATATACCGTAAGGTAATATAGCTGTCGACTGAGCGACACAAATAATTAGTGAAAGTAACTATGCTAACAATATTGCTGAGTGCATACTGATATCCATAATTTGGGGTGCTCTCAATATAGGCTAGACTGCAATTGATGGCTGCAAAATCCAAACGTATACATATAAGGTTTCACTGCCTTCCGTATACGCGACGGGTGTTAAAAAATAGGGCCAATGAGATTTGATGAACCTCCGGTTCAGCTATTCCAGAGTGACGAAAGCCTGTACATATACAATGTTTGCAGGATGCCTTGTACTGCTGTATGAGTCCTTAACCCTCATATCAACAACGAAGACATCTATTATCGTATGCAACAGATTATGATATTGAGGTTTGAGGCTTATCAAATGTCTTATATCCTGAATCTAGAAGTATTCAGCCCTGGCCATAAGATATCTCAATGTACCTGGTGTAATGAGATAGTGGTTGTTGGTGGCGTTGATAAAGTCTTACATGTCTGTCAGCGGTCGCACTTTCGGGGCGACAACGGAGCGGGCATAATTAGGGGCATCATGTATGCCTGTGAAAATGAGCCAATTGGTAAGCCCTGTGTATCAGAGTATTAATCTCTCCGTCGTATACATAACTTAACCTTAATCGTTGTTGTACTGTCATTGTTTGTTTGTTTGGAGTAGTACACTAGTAAGATTTAGCGAACGGCTCAGGTGTTGCAATGAACTGTTGAATATGCATTTACATATTGAGACATGATTTGTTGTTGTGACCGAGACATGCGTGCATTAGCATGAATACCCTTTTAGAATTGTAGCACAGGTTACGCGATGCTGGATTATACGCTTGAAACAAGTATAAATTCAATTTTGGTCGGTCTGCTTGCGCAGTGAAATGATTGTGCTTCTATCCAATATCAGTAAGTGTTCATGGCATTAAATAATAATAATTATGAACCAACTGAACTTTCAATAATCACACATATGCTGACGTGGTTCAAAAATGAGCGCTTTACCATGCCAAATGTGACATCTTATTGTTTCGAGGCTTAGATGTACACATAGCCTCAACCCACACGTGGGTGGAACGTGGAAATACTTGCGAATTGCAGGTGGCGTGTGTAAGAACGATCAGATGTGCAGCTCTAGAGCGGGTCGGTGAAACACAGCATGAAAGGGCTGAAAATAAGGCATTCTGACATGACAGATCGCCTCCATAAGTGCGAAATAGATCAGACACGTACTACGGTATGGGGACCTTTAAGAGATAGGTATATGTAACTGATGAGTCACCTGTAAACTGTAATTACTATCAACTCGGTCGCTTATCGCTTAGGATATGATACCTACGTAAGTGACATGGCAATATCGCTCGTACATTTTGGTATCACGCGGAGGATGCCAGCGCACATGCGGGTAAGTGCTACTGAGATCATATTATCAAACTTTAGCAGACGATCAGGGATATATAGCACTCGGAAGGTGCGTAAGACGGAGTAACTGACGGCTGAATCAATGATACATCTTGTGCCAACAGAGTGCACAGTACTACATTTCAGTTTCCTAGTATCATCGCATGCAAAGCTTTTGAAACTTTCCTGTGTCAGCTCCCACAACCTCCTTGCTTACCTGGGGCTGAAAGGAATGAATTTTGATGATTGGTTAACACCAAGAAATTCGTCCGGACCGTATCGAGATACTCCGTTACCGAGTACTCAAAGAAAGAAGCGCCACCAACTGAGTTACTCAACTACTTAGTAGGATTCTCCTTGCATGCCACATTCGTCAACTTGATCAAATAGAAATACATAAGAGTGCCCCCTTGACCTTATGGTTACCCAAAACTGCCGCGCAAACTGACTGAGCCATCAAGATCGAATTGAAGAAACAATGAACGGAACAATCAAGATTAAGTCGGGATATAAGCCTAAGGTTCTCATCATCGGGGCCGGCCTAGGTGGCTTGACTTTAGCTCAGATATTTCGCAAGAACGGCATTCCCTACGAAATATTCGAGCGAGATGAGCACGAGGTATCGAGGGCTCAGGGCTGGTCTCTGACAATGCATAGGTAAGCATTGACTTGAATCAACAGATAAATATTGTAATGAACCTAATATTTCGGGTTATATAGTGTGTTGAATGATCTGTTCGATGCATTTCCAGATGATATGCCTAGTTTCAAGGAGTCTGTCCATCATCTCAACCCTCTCGATCTAGACACTCAAGTCGTGTTTTATTTCCACAATGATCGCCTCGGAGTAGAGAGTAACCCATCCGCACCTACCCTAAGGGCCAACAGATTGCGGCTTCGTTCATGGCTGGCTACAAATATCCAGGTCCAGTATGGCAAGGTAGCTAGCAAGATTGAGAGATCAGGTAGCAAGATGGCTGTCACCTTTAAGAACGGCACCAGTACAACTGGCGATATAGTTGTGGGTGCCGATGGCGCAAATAGCATTGGTAAGCGTTGATGTTTGAATTGTTGGGTTTTGACGCTGCGGGAACATGGATTATCTGACGTTGGTATAGTACGAGAGCATATCCTCGGCAAACCGAACAAAGACATCCTTAGGAATGTCCCAATCAGTTCGATTACTGGGGAAGTTAGGCTGAGTGGAAAGTCTTTGGAACGCCAATTGGAAATTGCTCACAGCATGGCCATTATCCCAATTACCACTGGGGACAACTGGAACAACCTATTCCACGGTCTAACCAAGGTGTTCCCGGACGGGCAATCGGGAGAATTCTTCTGGGTTATCTCCTGGCACGATCCACTTGCCCAGCACACTGGTCGGATATCTGTCAATAGCTTTTCGAAGCAGGAGCGCCTCGACATAGCCCTCAAGATGACCGAGCATATGGACCCAAAGTTTCGGCAAATTATTCAGGAGACCCCCGTAGACGGTATTCGGGAGATCGGTTGGGTACCGACAGACGCACAGATAGACGCCATACCGCTTGGAAGGGCCACGATTCTGGGGGATGCCGTACATCCAATGACACCCTACAAAGCCGAAGGTGGTGTACATGCCATGCGTGACGCACTAAGCCTAGGCAAGCTCATATGCCAGCTAGAGACTCCAGACGATGCTGCCCTTTATCGTGCCTTGACTAAGTTCTATGCGGAGATGATTCCTCGTGGTATTGAAGCAGTTGAACTATCCAGGTATTTCTTGGAGAGATTCAGGCAAGATGCTACGAATGTCAAGGCGTGGGGTTATCCTGTTTCTAGTCTCCCAGACGAGAAACTAGAGATTGGACCTGGAGGTGTGCGAAGTGTAACAAAGGGGATATGCAAGTTGAAGTTAGTTCCAAGTAGGCGGTAAAAGTGTTTGGTATCTTTAAAGAGTTCACTGTATCGGTTACAATGGCCACTGTGTGTTATAGAAGATATTTAACCCATTTCATCATTGTGGTAGCGCACATGATGTATACAAATCTGAATGTGGTTCAAAGATACAGTGAGACATAAATGTGATCTGAATTCGAACGAATGTTTGAATCACTCTGAGCCCGATGAATCCGTATCTAGCAACTTCTTTCACATCTTTCTCACCCCTATTCGACGACCTAGAATATTTAAATCTAACCCTACTTCGTGCTCAAGCCCTTTGCATGCAGTTAACAGCTCTCTAGAATCCTTTATGTAGCTTGTGGGCATCTCTTCGAGGATTTCTGCGAGCTCACCATCCCGAGCCTGGGTGTAAACTAGCCAAGGATCATAAAGCTTAGAAATTTTCGTATGTCGGAGAAAAGCCGTGAAAATGCTGAATATGAGAATTAAATGTACTCCTAATAGGTAGCACACTGTGATGAAACCCCAATTTCGAATAGGAGCAAGCGCGGGTATCCAGCTAGTATAGGTAGCGTTGCTCAAAACATTATAGAACTGCAAATTATCATAGTAATGTTATGGGGCTAGTGTGCCGTAGCACATATATATTGCTTGTCTTTTTCTTTTCACTCTCAGATAGATTACACAACACGGACGGCTTGTCGCCGATAATAGACACTTCTCTCCTCTTGATCAATCGCCGTTACAAGTGACACTTTTGTTGCCTTGATTACCTCTGATCGGTTAGCTATGAAGTGGCTCCCCCTATACTACCTTTACCCCAACACCCCGTCCTAAGACAGCAATACGCCTGGTATACCCCGGACGCCTAAAATACTCATTGAAAAACAAATGGGTGGCCTTTGGTCATCCAATCGTTCAAGCCACCTTACGACGTCACTGAGAGTACATAATATGAGGGGTAAAAGGGCTTATAAGGGGTCTATAAGATCCCCCAACTTTAAGAAAGGCAGCCAATGGCGTTATTAAATACCAGGAGAACTTTATTTCTCACCATCCTCTATCAGTAGGTACACATACATTCACATACACATCATTGATATTCGTACAAAAAATATCCCTTAATAATGTGCCTTGAAAGTATGTTACTAATATAAGTAGTAATCAATCAAATGTAACGACTTAATGCATCTGCTACCAACACAAGATTACTATCCAATAAAAGCTTCAACCGCAAGCGGGGTAGCTTTGTATTGAAATTTATAAATAAGTAGCCACAGGCTCTAAATTCTATATCCAACAATGATATCTGTTCTGAGCATGCTTGAAGATGTATTTCATCTGGAAATTATTTTAGAATTGGTATTTTTATGTCATGCTAATACCTCGAAACGAAATGGTTGTTCAGAATATTGTGCCCTATGGCGAGTGGCAAAGCCCAATTACTGTAGGATCGGTCACATCGAAAAATCGAGCCTTGTCATCTCCTCGTATTCA